TTTCCTTTATTTACGCCCTGAAGTTCAAACTAGGCGATTTTTTAGTTTTTTATTTTTGTTTTATACTTAAAAGTCTTATATATTAACATTAGTGACAATATTGTAATTGATTTAGTTTTTAATTTTTGACTCATGTCTTTTGCTATTGTTTTTTTTGTTCCTTCCATACGCCGTCCCAATGCCGCCAACGCCGTCCGTCCGATTCCTCATAGATCAATATTTAGAAAAGTTTGAGTAATTTTGGAATTCGACCATGTTTGGATACAAAATTTCTCAAAAAATTTCAAACATTTTTAACCCAACCATTTTTTTTAACTCAGCTTTAACTCAACCCCACTATTATCAATATTATCAATATAATTAAATAATATCAATCAATCATTCTTACACACCACCTTACCTTAATTCACTATTCATCAACTCACATAATTTTAACTAACCATCACTTCAAATCTTCTCTCTCCTACTTTACATTAAATCAACTTTAATTAGTTTATTTTAAATATTATTCTAATACACCCACTAACAACTAACCATATCAACTTTTTCAAAATTAACCAAACCAAACAAAAAAAATCCAAACAATACCAAATTTTTTTATATCCAATCATCTCATGGAATCTTTTTTTTTTTTTTTTTTTTTTTTGAATTTCGACCGTTGAACCCGGAACCCGGCCCGGCCCGCCGGGTCCAACGGTCGGCCCTGTTAAATTTTTATTTTTTTTGAATTCTGAGTCTTGAACCCGTAACCCGGCCCGACCCTCCGGGTCCAACGGTCGGCCCGGCCCGGACCGGGCCCGGCCCGCCGGGTTTTTTTTTTGACCGAAAAGGCCCGGGACCGGCCCTTTAGATGTCCGGTTCCGGTTTGAAAACCGGCTTCTCCGGGCCGGGTCCGGTTCGGTCCGGGCCGGTTCGACCCGTGGACATGTCTACCCCCAAACTTAAACCATTGATAGTCCCGATCAATGCATCAAACTCCTACCAACACACAAGGAGAAACAATCACACTCTCAAAGTCAATCATACACATTCTCAATAGGCATCGGGCAAATAACTTAACCAAGTTCTGGAATTTTTAAACTTAAAGAATGCTTCATCAAAATCATGGTCAATACCTTCAATCCACAAACCTCACCAGATAAGTGTATACTCTCACTCTCAAAAGTGTATAGGAAAATAATCGCTCAAGTCAATTCAATGTTGAAGAATCACCATAAGCTTGTAAATTGCCTACTATCTCCACCGCTTATTGTGCAAGCGATTCATGAATCAAAAAGGACTTTCATTTGGTTGTAATGTAGGCTCTTTGGTTAGGGTAGGAAAAATATGATAAAGTGACGAAAACTTGAGCATCTAGAACTACAAAACATGAATTACACAACTTCATCACCTATTAATTAAGATCAAGCTCAAAACAACTTATCTCATACCCCATTTCAATCAATACTCGCAAGCCATATAAGAAATTCTAAAAATCCAACCAAACCGCCTTTATTTCAGTTAAGGCTAAAATATACGACTACATATACTTATACTTTTTTTCTTTTTTTTTTTTTGATAACTCTTTCAACCTCATTCAACTTCTCCCATCAACTTACACTCCCCTTCACGTCTTCCCTTTATCCACACCACAAACAATACACTTATCCTCCTCATATGATATAATCCTAAATGCTCAAGCAAGGACAAGGAAAAACATAGATGTAGCTAAATATGTGGCATTCAAAGAAAATAGGCAAAAGCTCAAAAGGGTTAACTAGGGAATAAAAATATCATTTGGTAAGCTAAAAGGGTCGAAAAGGCTCAAACAAAAATATGCCTTAGATCATTTTCACACAAAGCACACACCATGCGGTTTCGATAAAGATACCAATGCAAGTTCTAAAATTCAATCAACAATGAATGATACACTCAATCAAAAAAATATAAGGCTCAAAAGCTCACAAAGGATCATATATTCATGAATTAAAAGTATCAACCAATCATTCAAATTCACAATTCGATCAATCCTCAAATCTCATCACTTAGTATATTATGCCCAAATTATATATCAAATATGCACAAGAAACTCATCAAGGTGAATCAAAGTCAACCAACTACAACTACTCAAATCCTAAGGTAGCAATAAACGTGCTAAAGCGATAAAACCTAACATGCAACTACATGTTATGCAAGATAATGCAAGATATCTTGTTATCTTCTCTCTAAAATTCTCAAACCAAAATATCACATCTCCCCCCCAAACTTGAATGAAATTATATGAAGCACAAAAGGGAAGAATAGAATTTCAATAAAAGTAAAATAGAGAAAACTTACAAAACATTATTGAAGAGGTGACAATTGCTAGTATAGATCTCGAAGCATGTCCTTCGTCATGTAAATCTCTCCATGGAATGTTCTGCAAAGAAGAAAAACAAAATATCAAATAAACAAAAAACAAAACTAACTAAAAAAATGAAAAAAAATAAAATAAAATAAAAAAATAAAGCAGTAAAAAAGCATATAATAATTAAAAAAAAAAATTAAAGCAGTAAACATTGGGTTGCCTCCCAACAAGCGCTAAGTTTAACGTCTTCAGCCAGACGACTATGCTCATTAGGGAACTCGAAATAATGATTTTGATGATCTTCTCATCATTTTAATTTTGACTTTTTCCCAGTAGGTACTCAATCCAAAAGAGAGCATCATCTTCTCTTCATGTTCACCAAGTTTAGCATCACTATCTCTCTCAAATTGAATGACGAAGACTTCAACCTCCTCATCATATGGAATGACAAATTCAATTGTTAGACATTCAGAATCGAAGAACGTCTCTTGAATCATCCCTTCAGTGAGAATAACTGTGGGGGATTTAACTTCAAAGATGACATCCTTTTCTTATTCATGTTCTTCGGTAACGATAGAAATTTCTGGCGCACTATCTAATGATAAAAAGCATGGAGGAATGTAATCGAGCTCTTCTTGCGATATAGGAGGTAAACCAGAGAAAGGACAATTCCCCAGTGTGTGTGACAACATCAAACCATATTCGTCACACCCAATGTCACGTTCCTCGAATTCTCTCCTACGACGCTTTGACTCCAACTCGACCCTTTTAAGTTCTTCCAACTGATAGATCAAACACTTTAAAACCATTTTTTATCCTCTTCCGAGTATTTGGGATCTTGGCGCCAGTCATAGTCTACCGCATCCTCATCCAAAAAGAAAAAAAAAATATGTTAGCAAAAAATACAAAAAATGTCTAAATAAAAACCAACACTATCTATCATAATATTGATACAACTAATTATATTGGTCCCCGGCAACGGTGCTAAAAACTTGTTCGCCTATATTTTTTAAAGCTCGACCGCAAGTATATGGCTTCGCTCGTAGTACGTGGCAAGCAAGATCATATCCCAAGAGACCAAATAATTAATATATCAAGTACCAGATTATGATAGTGTTAACTTTATTTAGACGATCGAATATGAGATAGATTAACTAAACTAAAAAGAATATAATCAATAAGAAATAAAACAAAATAAAGAACTAGCTAGAGTAACACGTTAGAAAATATATGGAAAGGATACATTCTAAGACTTTGGTTTCAATTAATAGTTGAGTTCCTTCAGAAATATCACAACCAATGTTTTCTATATCTTCCCTATAAGATGATCACAAATTAAGCTTATCGTCCCTCTCAAGATCGATAAAACCGTAGATTAAATCACATATATTAGCGTCTCCACTCAACACATGCAATTCAACTCCAAATAGATTAAAAGATCTAATATCCTCACAACAACCTACTAATCTCTCGATTCAAGCAAGTAAATTGTGTCAAATATTAAAGACCTAATATTGAACTCATCTCTCGAATTATGAACAATATTGCCAAACATGTAAAAGCATTTATCAAGTGCTAAATATGAAATAAGAACAAAATATTTGAATAGGGTTCAAAAGAAAACAATCAATTATAATAAATCATCCAAAATCCCAACATATTAATCTACTATCAAGTCTTAGAATCAAATAAACTAGCCAATCATGTTCGAATTCAAATACATAGACATATTAGAAATCGACATAATCAATAAAAGTTCAAAAGGAAAGAAGAAAGAAAAACTAGGAATCTCGTCGATCTTTCAATCTTCTTGATCCCTTTGTAGTTGATCTTCTTTTTACTTCCCAATTGCTTCTCTTGTGTGTTCTAGGACTCCTCTTGTGTATCGCGTTCCCCCTCTCAAAATAGGGTAAATATGCCTTTTATAATGTCCAAAACCCTTCTCCTTTTCAAAATAGGTAAGATATAAAAAACAGTCTGTGCGCGCGACACGGCCGTTCTGCCCGTGTCACGGTCCGTGTCGCAGCCCGTGTCAGCTCCCAGGTTACGAATTGTCTCTGTTGAGGTGACACGGCATCTGACACGGTCATGGTGCCCGTGTCACTGCCCGTGTCACAAATCTGCACTCTCATTTTTGCTCGTTTCACTTGTTTCTTCCATATTTTTCATCCGTACATCAATCTTTCATCATCCCGGGGGTTTTAGGTACTCATCATGCGCCTCCAATAGCCAAAAGCTCTACAAATATGTGGAACTATCTACAAAACAAGCACGTGTAATACCTTTCCAACAAATAGAGAATTAAAGCATAAATATGCAATTTATACACCAATAATGCAATGACTAAGCTCTAGATACTCAATAAATATGGTGTAAAATCACACATGAACAGTACTTGGTTGTCCTCTGTGATGGTCAAACACGAAAAAAGGCTTGCTCGTCGCTGGACCCGTCTCTCGGCTTCTCGCTCGATGACGCGGCTGCCGGTGCTCACTCGGACAGCCGCCAGAGAATGGTAATGCGAGAGGGTGGTTTGAAGAACTTTGGGCAGAAGAATTTTTGAGAGAATAAAGCCTTGCTGCTAATTTTTTGGGGCCGAAAATATGGTGTAAATGGCCTTAATTCGTAAGGCTGGGAGATCTTGGTTGATTTCTTTGGGGTCTTGAGGACAAGAATGGTAGTTCTTGGTGTTGTAAAGATGGTAAGGTTTGAGGGTCATAACTTACCATAAAAGCTCTCATGGAATTTGAATTTTGAATAAGAT